TATCTAAATTTACAGGTATAGGGTACTGATTTTATTAGACTGTTAACTGGAGAGGGGCGATTTACAGAGAGTAGATGCAGACTCATAAAAGAAATTCAAGAAAAAGCACTTACCTGTACACTAAAAGAAACAAAATGTGTACTCTTCACTGCTTGCAAGTGACAATTACAGGTTGAGAAATGCTCTGTAAAATGTGTCCAGCACATGGCAGTAGATTAGATACAGTGTGCAAGGCACCTCAATGGCCAACAGAGTTCTCTGCTGACACAGGTCCCCCCACCCCGCCCGGCAGGTTCACTGATGCCTGGGACATCTGCAAGACTCAACAACCCCACCACCTGGCAGGAGGTGGCCTGGTCTGTCTGCATCACATGAAAGTGGACTTTGCCATCCGAGCGTACCGGGCGATCAGAAACGTTGGCATGGTGATGTCCTTGGAGAAAATAAAGGTATACAGCTTTTTCTTAGATTTATCCTATTAAGGTTTAAATACTATTTATTCAAATATTTTAAATTTCTTCAGTTAATTTCACCTAACACGTAAACAGGCGAATAGACAGAACATTCACTTCCTACGGAGTGGTCTTAAAAAAAAAAAAAGTTTGTGTGTTTCTTCTCATCCAAACTGCTTTCTTCTGCAGGGAATAGAGGACTACCATATTTTAGCTGGAAATTTTGCCATGTTTACTAATGATTTCAACCTAGCCCAGGACCTGTACCTCTCGTCCAGCTGCCCTGTGGCTGCCCTAGAGGTAGGGTGGCAAATAAGGAGGAAAAGTACCTGCAGGACCGGGGTGGTGGCACATGCCTGTAACCCCAGCAGTTTGGCAGGCTGAGGCAGGGGGTCCCAAGTTCGAGCCCAACGTGGGGAGCTTAGTGAGTTAGTGAGACTGTCTCAGAAAGGGGCTGGGGATGCAGCTGCGTGTGAAGGCCCTGGGTGCCACTCCTCATACTGGCCCCCCCAAAAGCACAGGCAGAGACAGAATCTCCCCTCACGTAGAGCTGAAACTTCTCAGCACCTGACACCACATCCCTTCCCCTCCTAAAATGTAAACATTTCAGCCTCAAGGGCCCCTGAGCAGTCGTTAACTTAAAAGAGTATTTTCATTCTGCATTCAGTGAAGGCGTAAAAGGCATAGTATTGTGAACATTACTTAATAATTTAAAGTCTAACCGTGTCCAAAGAGAACAGATTGTATAACTTACAAAACTGTAGAAGGAAGGGCTGGGGATTTAGCTCAGTGGTTCCAGCACCTGCCTCGCAAGTGCAAGGTCCAGGTCCCGAGTTCGATTCCTGGTACCCCCCCCAAAAAAGAATCAAAATTGTAGAAGGAAAATAGCTACCATTTAGAGTGTTCGCATGTGCCAGGCACTTTTCTAAGCACTCGACCTATATTCACTCATTCAGCTCTCCTAGGAGTCCTGTGAGACAGGACCACTGCCTTCTCTATTTTCCAGTTGGGAAAACGAAGGCCCATCTGCCTTTTTTCCTTGTTGTATGAAATTCTCTTGCGTATCAAGAGTTGAGAGTCGCAGGACAGCAACTAAGACAGGGTGAAGGACAAGCTTAGGGCCAGGGAGGAAGGGAGGCATGGCAGCATCTGAGAGCGATCGGCAGCCTGGAAGAGCGAGAGACATCTGGATCCGAATCCCAGCCCTGTGTCGCCTTTCTCTGCCCTCAGTCCCACTGTAAAGTGAGGATAGACAGGCCGGGGGATTGAGCTCAGTGGTTCTGCCACCTGCCTTACAAGCGCAAGGGCCCGAGTTCGATCCCCCATACCCAAAAAAAAAAAAAAAAAGAAAAAAAAGTAAGGATAGCCGTATCCAGCCCACACAATGGCTGCAAACATTTTAAAATAGGAATTAGATCTCTCGGCACAGCATCTGATGAGTAGACACAAAAACAGTAGTTGTTGTAATTAGTATTAGTTATTCCACCCCAAACAAGAACTTCTACAGCTGTCTAAAAGGGGTTGTTTTGAAAATATGTTTATAGCTAATTTTATGGCTTTCTTTCTCATATTATTCCATAGCACCCAGGCGTGGTGGCACATACCTGTAATCCTAGCACTCAAGAGGCTGAGGAAGGAGGAGCGCCATGAGTTTGAGGCCAGCCTGGGCTCCATAATGAGTTCAAGGCCAGCCTGAACTACATAGTGAGACCTTGTTTCAAAAAACAAAAAAAAAATCTCCACAGCAGATTTTCATTTTCTTTTTCATTATTGTTGTTTTTTCAGTTCTGGGAATCAAACCCAGAGCCTGACACATACTAGGCAAGCCTGTCCCGCTGGGCTATTCCTCCTGCCCTGATTTTCATCTTTACAATAATTTTCATTTTTTAAGTTAATTAATTGTAGGAAAAATTTAGATAATTGAACAGTATGCCTGGAGATAACTGTGGACACCCGGAGCAGTTCTGAGGACTTCGACTTGTGCTCACTGCAGGAGACATGTCGCCACGGCGAGCAAAGACCAAGATGTACTTCATAGCTCTTCTGCCTTTTTTTTTTTTTTTTTGAGGTTCTTCTTCTAATGGTAAAAACTTTATTTACTATTTATAAATACATTGCAAGACAAACCTTTCAAAACTACTTTTTCCCCCAAAAACTTAATTAAGAAAATAGGTAGGCAGAACGTCTCAAGAGCCCTTGTAGTTATCAAGGGAGCTCCACGCAGGGGGTCCACCTTGGGACCTCAGGCCTGGCCTTGGGGACCACGGGGGCCCACGGCACGAGCTCCTTTCCTCGGTCACGGCCACGGTTGGTTATATCATCTAGCATCTCTACCATTTTCTCTAGGATGATCTAGTGTCGATCCTATTATATTTGGGGTATGTGGTACACACTGTTAACAATTAATTAAGAACACATCTCCGTATGTATGTGTGAGCGGTAAGGAGTGTCTGTGAGAAGAATTCCAAGTTCAACCAACACAGGTCAGAGATCTCTAAGTGTCCCAGGGTCCGTGCCAGGGTCCCAGCAAGCTGGTCATCTTTCCTGTTTAGATTTTTGTTTTTCCTTTTACATTGTGCAGAGCAGGATACAGGTAAGAGATGAAAATAAAAATTTTGCTTTTGGAGAGCTTAACCTCAAAAATCTTGTTTTGAGGAGTTGAACCAGAAAACACTACTTTCTACAGTCATCTGAAGAATCGTTGCTCAAAAGGCCTCTCAGCGCCGAGGCTGATTGCTCCCCTGCCTCTCTTGCCCCATGGGACCAAGGGCAAGGTGACCCCAGCCACCCAGCCTTCCAAAGGGGCTGCCATGAGGAGGCCCCCGGATGGAGGGTCACCCACACCTGCCGACAGGTTCCTGGGCATCCTGCTGTTAAGACTGCGTCTTAATCTCTCCAGTAGTTTCCAAAGTAGATTAGGTCATCGCCAGATGATGGACAGTCTTCGTGGTCGAGACCCAGGCCCCTGAGTCAAAGAGGTCCCCGTCGGGCTATGTTGGCAGGGGGCGTCAGGACGTCCAGGTGACTGGAGTTGAGGCTTTTCCTATTCTCCTGGGCCTGTGCTCATTTTACAGAGGGTGGGGGAGAAGCTCGTTTGCTGAAGTCTCAGGGTGGGAGGGGTGAGTGGGGCGGGCATGGTCGGGTTGTCCCCTCCGCGGACGAGGGCCCGGGAGGGGAGCCTTCCGTGGAGCGAGGTTTACAGATAGCAGCTAGAAAATTCAAACTGCTTTTCGCTAATTACTGGAAAGATCTCAAGTTTACTACTTAAAGGAAACATAGGGATTTCAAAAATCTGTCTAAACTTTGGTTTTTTTAAAAGATCAGTTCACCACAAAAAGAAATATAACTCGAGGCTGTGGCCAGCTACTGAGCATGTCCTCGGCAGTCTTTTGTGCCCAATAAGGCGTATTTGAGCTCCACATTAAGTGGTCAGCAGGTCTACCGGCTGTGTACGCTCAGGCAGTGCACGTCCTCCCCTCCTTGCCCTCGGAGTCGTAGCCCGGGAGGGGCTGCCCGTACTTGTCCACGCACCAGCAGAAGCCTCGCTTTCTGCCTTTGGAGGGGCGGCCCTGCTTCTTCTGAAACGAGCCCTTCTTGTCACAGTTTGGGATGGGGACGCCCCGGGGACTCAGCACACTGAGGAACGTCAGGTGGCTGAGCGTGTCTTCCATCTCTCTCCGCCAGGGCCGTGTTCTGTCTCCCGCCTGGACTCGGAGGAGAAGGTCTGGGTGTCCGTGCTCTGGGACTCGTAGTCGACTTTGTAGCGCTGGCCGTCCTTGGCGTGGCCTTTCCCGATGACGTCCATCTTCGTGGGCAGGGTGTGGAACCTGGAGTCGGTCACCCGGTGGGTGCTGGGGATGGCGTGGGTCTGCACGCTTCCGCCCTGGTGGGTGCTGGGGATGGCGTGGGTCTCCACGCTTCCCCGCCGGTGGGTGCTGGGGATGGCCTGGGTCTCCACGCTTCCCGCCCCGGGGTCCTCCTCCGACTCGCTGGCATCTCCCGGAGCGGGGGGCGCCGGCAGCAGGAAGGGGTGCAGGCGGCCGGCGGCGCTGGCGTTGGCGCCGAAGCCGCCGCCGTGCAGGAGCGCGTGCAGCGGGCGCAGCTCCCCGGGCTGCGGCTGGCAGCGGAGGCCAGAGCCGCAGCGCTCGGGGTAGACGCCGCACGCCGGCC